TGTCGTTCAATTCAAAGAATTTTTTAATTTCTTCTTTGATCTCCTCATTAGTCCAGTGGTCTTCCAGTAGTGTGGTTTTTAATCTCCATGAGGTAGGAAAGTTCCTTGCCTTCTTTTTATGGTTTATTTCTAGTTTGATGCCTTCATGGTCAGAAAAGATGGTTGATATGATTTCAATCTTGGTGTATCTGTTGATGCTGTCTTGTGCCCCAGTATGTGATCGATCCTGGAGAATGATCCTTGTGCACTTGAGATAAATGTGTACTCCGTTTTTTTTGGGTTTAGTGTTCTATAGATGTCTGTTAAGCCCAAATGCTCTAGGTCCTTATTTAGAGCTTTAGTTTCTTTACTTATTTTTGTCTTGTGTTGATCTCCATTGTTGATAGTGGTGTGTTGAAGTCTCCCACTACGTATGTGTTTTCTCTGATGTCTGTTTTCAGAGAGGACAACAGTTGTCTGATATATTTTGGTGCTCCTTCGTTTGGTGAGTATATGTTAATGAGTGTTATTTCTTCTTGAAGTATTGTCCCCTTGATCATAATGTAGTGACCATTGGGGTCTCTTTTTATCTTTTTGAGTTTGAAATCTGTTTTATCTGATATAAGTATAGCTGTTCCTGCTTTCTTTTTTGGTCCATTTGCTTGTAGGATTGTTTTCCATCCTTTAACTTTGAGCCTATTTTTATCTTTTGTAGCTAAATGTTTCCTGGAGACAGCAAAAGGTTGGGTTTTGTTTCTTAATCCAGGCTGCAACTCTGTGTCTTTTTATTGAAGAGTTTAGTCCATTTACATTTAGAGTTAATATTGATATGTTAGCATCTGTATTTGCCATTGTGTTTGTCTTTCCTTTGATTTTATTTATTTATTCTTTTAATAACTTTTTTTTTTTTTGGCCTTCTTTCATTGTTATTCGTCCCTCTGAGGTTCTGGCTTTAGGACTCCTTGTAGTATTTTTTGGAGTGGGGGTTTAGTTGCAATGAAATTCCGGAGTTTCTGTTTGTCTGGGAAGGTCCATATTCTTTCTTCAAAGAGAAAGGAGAGCTTTGCGGGATAGAGAATTCTTGGTTGGCATCTGTTTTCTTGGAGTCTGTTGACTATGTCCCTCCATTCTCTCCTTGCCCGTAGTGTTTCTTCGGAGAAGTCTGATGTCAGCCTGATTGGCTTTCCTTTGAATGTTATCTGTTTCTTCCCTCTTGCCAGCTTCATTATTTTTTCCTTGTCCTGGATTCTTGGGAGCTTTACTATTATGTGTCTTGCTGTATTTTTCCTTTCGTCGTGGAAGTTTGGTGTTCTTCTTGCTTCTTGTATATCAATTTTCAGCTCCTTCTTCACATTTGGGAAGTTCTCTTCAATTATCTCTTTGAATATTTTCTCTGTTCCTACATCTCTCTCCTCTCCTTCTGGTATTCCTATAACTCTTATATTTCCTTTCCTCATGGAGTCAGATAGTTCCCGAAGTCTTTCTTCGTTCTTTTCCTTCGTACTTCTCTTTCCTTTTCTGTTTTGGTTCTTTTTATTTCTGTGTCTTCAAGATTACTTATTCGTTCTTCCATTTCATCTATTCTGCTTTCATTGCTTTTCCCAGAATTCTTTAGTTCTTCCATTAATTCTTTGATCTCCTGCATTTCTTTTACTTCCTCTTTAGGGACTCAATTTCATTCTTCTGACCATTGTTTTCCCTCTCTAGGGACTCAATTTCATTCTTCTGATCGTTGATTATTTTTCCCTTATCATTGTTTTCCTTTATGACTTCTGTCAGTTTTTTAATCACGGCAATTTTAAATTCTCTTTCTGGAAGGCTCAGAAGTTCTTCCAAGTTACTGTCGTTGCAATCTGGGGGCTGCTTTTCTTTTTGTGGTGTGCTTTTTCCCTGGGGAGTTGCTAGGTTGCGTGTGGTTCTTCTCCTCCCTACTGTCTGTTTTCTAATTTGCCGTATGCGTTGGGACACTGTGTAGTTGGGACTGGCCGGCATCTTGGGTGAGCTTCTCTGCTCATCTCTGGTTCCTCCAGGAGTCATCTGTCAGTTTCAAGCAGTCTTTACTGGAGAAAGGTCCCTGTTCTAAAATGCCGATGTGGGGACACACTCCCCTGTGCGCCTGGTCTGCCCCGGCGGTGGGTTCCTGCTCCCCCTCTGGGCTTGGACTGCAGGCCAGAGGGGGTCTGGCGTGGGCGAACTTCCCCCGCTCACCTCTGGCTCCTGAGGAAGCCTTCTGCAGGTAGTCTTTACTGAAGAAATGTCCCTGTTCTAAGATGGTGATGTGGGACACACTCCCTGTGCGTCCGGTCTCAGGCACACTCTTCTGCGCGCCTGGTCTGCCCCGGCTGTGGGTGCTCGCTCCCCCTGTGGGCTCAGACTACTGGTCGGAAGGGGCCCGGCGTGGGCTAACTCCCCAGCTGGCCACTGGCTCCTCTAGGCGCCTCTGCTGGCTTCAAGTCGCTAGGTGGCGCCAGAGATCTCTCCTGGAGCCCTTGGGAGCTGATTTTCCACCCCGTGGGACAGGGAATAGAGCGGGAATGGTAGGGTAAACCTCAACGGCTTTGGGGTGCTGTGTCTGCCTTGTGCCCCACCATCATGGGGAACCCACGCCCCTAGTTTCGTGCCCCGGGTGTCAGTTCCAAAGCCCTCAGTTCCAGGACTCAGGCTGTAGCCCAGTTCAGTGGCGCGGGAATGGCGCCTTTTGAATCCCGCTCCCGTGCCTGGGCGCCTGGGCCTGCTCACTCAGTGAGGGCCTCCGCGCGTCTCCCCGCAAGCCTAGGTCGCAGGCGCAGGGACCTGGGCAGCTGCGATCTGGATCCGCGTTTGCTTTTCAACTGCACTGCTTTTCTGCGCGCGATCCCGATTCCGATCTGCACTTGGTTTTCCAGCGCGCTGCTGTTCCACGCAATCCTGACAGCGATCCGCGCCTGTTTTTCCAGCGCGCTGCCTTTTCCGCCCAAGCTTACCAGGAGCCCGGGGCTGTGTGCTGGTGCTGGTCTCCTCCCCGGGGGCGGGGTCTCTCTCTTAATGGCGCCCGGAGCCGTTCGCTCACCTCCGCGGCGGATCCTGCGGGGTTCTCCACAGCTCCCGTTCACGGGGTGTGGTGGCTGCAATAGTTCCTTTCCACTCACGGTCCCGCTTGCTGCGTCGTTTGTTCTTGTTGGCCGTTTTAGTTTGTTCTTTTCCTCCTCTCTGCCGGTCGGAGAGTGCCGCCTCTGTGGGTGGGGGAGGGGAGCAGGGTTCTGCGCTTCCCTCCCTTCTGGTCCTCTTTTATGGCCACTTTCTTCTTCGGGCAGTTTGCTGGCGTCACCTGTTTATCTTCCGTGTCCCAGTTCTCACTGGGACCTGCCGCTTTTCCTCCCTATTAACTTTTTTTAATGGGAGATCTTACTCGCAGCGTCTCCTCGCTGCCATGTTGCTCCGCCCCCCCTTTTTTTTTGATAAAGAATGAGCTATCCTAGTCTCATTACCTTTTCATTTAATATTTAGAATAATTTTGTCTACAAAAAAAATCTTTCTGGGATGTTGACTGGAAGTATGTTAAATCTTTGTGTGTCAAAATGGGGAACCTTGTCATCACTGAACCTTTTAATCCAAACCATGTTAAGTGTCTTTATTTATTGAGATCTTTGATTTCTTTAATCAGTGCTGTATAGTTGTGGGCATACAAGATTGATTTTTTTTTTTTTTTAGATTTATGTCTACTAGTCCATTTTTCTTAGTGATTGTGGATAGTACTATATTTTAATTTTGGTCTTCACATCCTCTGCTACTATAAAGAAATGCCACTGGATTTTTAATGTTGATATCATGTCCTGTGATCTTTAAAACACACTTGTTCATTCTAGGATTCTCCCCTTCCCTTTCTATGTAGATCATCATATCATCTGCAAATAGAGACAGCTTTCTTTCTGATTTGTTTGCCTTTCATTTCATTTTCTTACTTTATTGTACTGGCTGGAAGTTCTAGTTAGTCCTGTGTGAATAAGAGTATATCTGCCTTCATCCAGAGCTGGCAGGGAAGCATTCAGTCTTTCAGCAGTGAGTGTGGAGTACATATTCTACAGATGCTGTTTATCCAGTTGGGGAAGTCCCCATGGTTTTCTCACCATTCTTTGCATGAATGGGTATTGAATTTTGTCCAATGCTTTTCTGTATCAATTGATATGACCATGGGGTATGGTGGGTTACATTGAAATTGAAATATTTAACCAGTTTTGCAATCCTAAAAATGGTCATGTCATATATTTCTAGTTATATATTGCTGAATTCTGTTTGCTAATATTTTATGAAAGGTTTTGCATTTATATTCATGAGAGGTATTTCCTATAGTTTTCCTTTTTTTTTTTTTTTTTTGCTATCTTTAATTCTGATACCAGGATAATACTAACTTTGAAAAGTGTTGTCCCTCTTCTGTTTCCTGATAGAGAATGTGTAGAATTGGTGTTATTCTCTAAATGTCTGATAGAATTCTCAAGTGAAACTATTTGGAGAACACTTTCTCAGGAACTGTAAAGTTATGAATTCAAATTCTTTAGTTATTATAGGGCTATTCCCATTATCTTTCATTCTGGGTAAATTATAGTATGTGTGTCTCAAGGTCCATTGTAAACTTACTCTGCATTCTGAATTTGTTAGCGTCTTTTCTCTATTTTTCTTGGTCACTCTTGCTGTAGGTTTGCCAAACTTTATTGGTATTTTCAAAGAACCAGTGTTTGTATCACTGTTCTGTGCTGGACACTGACCCACCCATGGCACATGTGGGGCCCTGCAGCCCTCCTCACAGTACTACCACATAGGTGCCATGGCACCCCATTACAGAAGGGGGACCTGCACAGCAGTGGCACTGTAACTGGCTTGGGGATCTCCCTACCAGCTGGTGGTGAACCTACAATTACATCTCAGATCCCCAAGTGCAGCCTAACTCTGCAGAGGGCAGTGACGCAGAGTGGAGGGAGCATGAGTTCTTTTCTTCAGTAAATGGAGAATTTGATTATCTCCCTTTCTTTTCACAATGGCTGCAGCGGAGGGCATTGAGAACAACTTCAGAGAAACTCAGAAACCGCTCATCTTTCTCTACGAATGTTGTCTATACCACCCCGGGCACACGTGTTAACAGGTACATTGGCCGCCTCCTGGAAGCCCGCCAGACAGAGCTGGAGATGGCTGACCTGAACTTCTTCACTCTGAAGTATAAGCAAGCCGAGCGAGAGCGAAAGGTAGGTCATCCGTCTCAGTGACCAGAGATGCCGGGCCCCAGATGCAGCTACACTTGCTGGCCCTTCTCCTGGTCTGTGTGGGCATGGGCACTGTCCTTCTCCACCCATAATGGTTCTGAGCATCCTCGGTATCCCTGGGAAGACAGAGTCTGCATGTCTCCTGGAAGCTGGGCCACTGATGGTCAATTCTGTATCCCATAGTACCACCAGCTTCAGGACGAGTATTTCACCAGTGCCGTCGTGCTTGCCCTCATTCTGGCTGCCTTATTTGGCCTTGTCTACCTTCTCATAATCCCACAGTAAGTGTTGTCCTGTGTCCTGCCATAAGATGAAGTTATTGGGAATTTCTTTATATTCAAGTTTGACTCCCAAGGTTAGTCTCCTGTCATGCCCAGTGTTTGGGGATGCATGAGCCACGTACCACTTCTCCATTTATTCAAGTAACTAGTTGAGCAAGCCTTTATGCCAAGTTGTATGGGACTGGTACTCTTGATTTTCAATTTTTAATTTACTTACTTCTAAGACACTTGTATTATCCATGTCTTTGACCACGCACCAAAGACGTCATGATAGTTTCTGAGGGAAAAAACCTACAGCACACCTAATGGATACTTGGTTTCTAGGTGCATGGCATTTTTCAGAAATATTAAAATGAGGAAAAGTGACCCTTGAAAAGGAAGAAAACTGTGATTTTAATTTGGCAGGTTTTTTTTTTAATCAAAGAAGACCCCAGAAAACCTTCACTCTGTACCCCCCACCCTGCCAACATCCTTTCTTAATAAATTTCCTTATTGGAGTAATTCTCCTGAGAGATTCAAGAAAACACATAGAAACTGTCCTGTTCCCCCTCCCCCCACCCCCACCCAGACAATGTGAGCACACGGTGAGGGTCACTGCCTTGATGGACCTATATGGGATCAAACCTTTTCTAGGGAACCCCTTCCCAGACAAAGTACAGTAAAAGAGCAGAGTCCAGTGGCCACGTCGGTGCAACTTTAGTGCTTCTTGAGGAAGGCACCTCTAGGAAGTTCTCAGGACTGGGGATCCTGCAAGCTACAGGGGTAGAACTTGGGAGTGGACACGGGAAGAGAACCAGCTTAGGCAAGACCCCGGAGACTTGATGCTTCTTCCTGAGGTTCTGCTTCTTCCTGAGGGCTGGGTGACATGCTGGGTAGAGTGTGGGATGTGGGTTGATTCCCAGGCACCTTTAGGGCACGCTTCACCTTGCCCCAGCTCACAGTAACTGTATGTCTTCTATATCTAGGAGTCTGGCCCTCCTGCTTCTGTTGGTGTTCTGCATCTGTTTCCTGGTGACCTGTGTTCTGTACCTGCACATCACCCGGGTCCAGGTATGTACATGTACCTGTGTTTCACCTAATTCAGGAATACTCATGAGTGTATCCTATACCTGCATATCGAGAGAAGTGCATGTGTGTATGTGTTGTATACCTACACAACATGTGGGTTGGTATGTGCATGGCTGCTGCCTATTCTCCTAGCATGGCTAGTCAGGAAATGGAGGCATTTTGCCCCATGCTCTCCTGGAAGGTAGAACATGTTGTCTTCATAGTAGGAATGCATTTGAGCACCTCGTGTGCTAGGCACTGTTGGGAGTTCTGGGAGCCTGCCCAAGGATACAAGGAGTTGTGACTGAGAGTGATTAAATAAATGAACAGGAGATGTGATGCTTTTCTCCCAGTGTGGAGCTTCCCTCAGGTCAGGAGAGTATTGGTAGGTTGTGTGTTTGTGTCATGGATTGGGGCGTCCACACTAGCAAGGATTGTGTTCTGACTTGCTGGTCTACATGTTTGGGGCCACAGGGTGAGCTTGGCAGCCCTGCACATCATGATCAGGGGGAAGACTCAGTTTTTCCCAGTCCTACATTTCTTTCTCACATCCCAACCTTTGTCTCCAAATGTTTCTTTCCCTTCTATCTCCACTGTCATGACTGGCAGACCCAGTGTTAATTTTACTTGTTCTTGAAAACAGCCACTCTTAGAAAGGTTAAATCTAGTTTTATTTGTTTAACTTTACATCAGTAACTTTTTGACTTTTTAAAATAGAAATGCTATGCATTCAGACTGCATTTCTAGCTCTTTGATTTTCACGTGTCGAGTGGCATTTAGTGTGGTAAATTTTGAAATTTCCAACTTCAAATGAGATTACTGTATTCACATAATTTCAAATGAAGGTATGACAAATGGATGCTAATTTCTAAAGCCCATCATAGTTATCCCTAGTGTTGGGAATCCGTGTGCCCAGTGGGGACAGATAGCACGAGACATGCAGAAACATGAACTGGGAAAAATAGCAAATACTGAGACCTCATCAGTGTACCTAGCATGGGGCTGTCCCAGGATGGATTTTTTTCACTTGTAAGATTTCCATAAAGTTGACCAAAGAGGGCAGGGTGGCTGGTTACCTGCTTTCCTATATCAGAGAAATCAAGGCTCAGGAAGGCTAAGTGACTTTCGCACATGACTGTAAAGCAAAATCTGACCCAGACCTTCCGTTTCTAGAGATAGTATTCCAAATGAAAACACATGATTTCACCAAATACATATGTCCTCAGAATTCAGGAAATGGGTGCTGCCTGCCTGGAATCAGTTTCCTTTGCTGAAAATGCTAGAGATAGACCTGTTGGTGACATTAAACACAAGGTAGCCCAGATTTTGACATAGCACCTCCCGTGCACTGATATGGCCTACTCCTGCAGGGTTGGTCCAGCTGCACTAACCCCTTTCTGAAAGTTCACCCTCCCCTTCTCATGAGCCTGAACATTTTTCTAAGTTTGTGATTTTTGAAGTGAAAGGCTTTTTAGAGAGCTGCAGTTGGTCCATCTAATGCTATTGATTTTAGAGGATAGGAAGCACAAATAGGAGAGGGAGGAACTCCAAAGGCTGTCCATGGGGCAGGATAGATAGCTTAAGAGTCTGAGGCAAGAGATTGAAAAAAGACAAAATTGGCCAGCTTGATGCCAAGACCCAGGGCTACTGGCCATGAGCATTTCTGTGCAGGAACCAGAACTGAACCAGATTAGGTCAGTTGAAAGAGTGGTCAGCAATGTGTTGAACTGGCCGCTGGGCCTTTACAGATTCATGGTGCACTCACTCTGAGACTTCATCCCTCTGTTATTCATAAGAAAATTTCAGACCTTCTAGGAGAAAAGGATAACTTTTGTTTAAGGATCAAAGCAAAGAGCTGAGCCATGTACCTATGAGGAACTTGGCTAGAACTCATGTGTTTAGACCATTAGAAAAAGGTTTTCAACTCCCTAGTCCTCAGATGTGGGTACTGTGATGCTCAGATACTGGCCCCAGTGAACCTAGAGGTGAGCTGCAGGGCTGCTCTCATTCCTGGCCCTAGCCCCTGCCCAGACCCAGATGCTGCAATGCCTGGATCCTGGACCCAAGTAGACTTGGAGTGAATTTCTAGCACCACACCAAACCCCACAAGCACCAACTGCCATGCCCACCAACTGGTAAACACCCTAAACAGCGGAAAAGGAGGACCCACACACAACAAAGTTTCCTACTACAGAACAAACTGAAAGTAAATGATGGGGAGAAACAGAAATGCAAATGGCCAAGCAAGTCCTCAGGGGAACAGTAGATCATGGAGAGAAAACAAATATCCAGGACCAACTCACAAAGACATGGAAGAGCTTTTATTCCTATCAGATGCAGAAGTAAAAACTGCCATATTATTAAGAAAATCAAAGAATTGGAGCAATACAAAGAAAACTCTGTTTTTCATAGCATTCATTTCCTTTTTTGAGTTTTCCTGCATATCTCTAAACTGTCTGAGTTATGATCAAATTTGAACCTCTAAGTAAGAAAATAGTAGAAATTCAAAAAAGTGGAAAGGTAAGTGGAGGAGATGAAACATTCTTAGAAAGTCAAAGAAGTAGACTAAACTAATGCAAAAATAAATAAGTAAGATCAAAGAGTCAAATGGGGAAAAAATCAAAATAGAAAAAGAGAGATACAAAGCTAAAAAAATGAAGAAAGACTTGGAGAATTATCTGATGCCATGGGTATCTCAGAAAGAGAGAGATAAGGGAACTGGAAAATTATTTTAAAAAATAATGGAAGAAGGGCCTCCCCGGTGGTGCAGCGGTTGAGCGCTGGGCTGCAAAGCTGCCTGCAGCCTCTGCAGCGCCTGTTCAATCCCTGGCCAACGGGTGAGGGTCCCACATGGCGCACAGACCTCTCCTGCTGCCCGCTGCTCCCCTCAGCAGTGTATTTCTTAGTCAGTCTGCCTGTTCTGTTCCCCGCTCCGGCTCTGGTGAATTCTCTCACCCTCCCGCACTTCTGACTGTATGTACCCAGTGCTTGTATAAATAAATAAATCAATCTTAAAAAAAAAAAATAATGGAAGAAAACTTCACAAACTTGGAGAGGGAACTGAACATAAAAACACAGGAAGCTAACAGAACACCAGGTTACCTAACACCTAAGCAAAAAAAAAAAAAAAAAGACCTACAGTAAGAGATGTAGTAGATATAGGGGTCTTCCCTGGTGGCTCAAGGGGTTAAGATGCAACCTATGAAGCAATCTGAAGCCACTGCAGCACAAATTCGATCCCCAGTCAGGAAGCAACCCACATGGTGCAGCAGACCTCTCCTGACTCGCCCGCTGCTCCCCTCAGCAGTGTATTTCCATTGAGCTGCCTGTTCTGTTCCCCACTCTGTCTCTGGTGAATCCTCTTACCCCCCCCAACCCCCTCTGGCCTGTACCCCAGTTCTTGTATGCATGAATAAATAAATCTTTTTAAAAAAGATATATAGTAGATATAGTAGTAAAACTTCTGAGACCATGACAAAGAAAAATAATGAAATTGATAAAAAGGAAGAAACAAATGACCTATAAAGGAATCTTGACTAGGCTAACATCAGGCTTCTCTGAAGAAACACTATGGGCAAGAAGATATAGAATGAGTAATTCAAAATACTTCAAGATAAAAATTGCTAACCAAGAATACTCTATCCTGCAAAACTCTTCTTCACATATGTGAGAGAAACAAAGACCTTCTCAGACAAACAGAATCTCAGGGAGTTTGTAACCACTAAATGCCCCTCTCCAAGGAATATTGAGTGAAGCCTTAGTAATTAAACTAAAGAGAGGAATAAACACTCAAAAAAGCTGAACAAGCAATTAAATAGAATCACAAAATTAAGGATGAAATGGCAGCAGCAAACTTTCATATGTCAGTAATCACCCCAAATGTAAATGTACTATAAACTCATCAATAAAAAGACACAGAGTTATGAGTTGGATCAGGAAACAGAATCCAACCTTCTGCTGCCTCCAGGAAGCACACCTAAGTTCCAAGGATAAACATACACTTAAAGGATGGAAAACAATTATGTAAGCAAATGACACCAAAGGAAGGCATGGACAGCCATACTTAATGTCAGATAAAATGCACTTCCATGTTAAAAAGGTAACCAGAGACAAGGATGGACACTATACAATGATTAAGGGAACAATATAGCAGGAAGAGATAATACTCATCAATATATACTTACTAAATGAAGGAACATCAAAATACATCAGACTATTACTATTAAATCTGAAAATAGACATTAGAGAAAACAACTCAACTACAAAAATAAAATAATGAAGTACTCTAATGCATTGATTATACAACCCACTACTGAAAGGCCACTGGGTTAATGAGGAAATCAAAGAAGAAATCAAAAAGTATTATTTCTCTTAAGAGAAATAATAATGAGGGCACAAACTTTCAGAATGATGGGACACAGCAAAAACAGTATTAAGAGGGAAGTATGTAGCAATACAGGCCCACATCAAGAAAGGAAGAGCCCAAATCAACAACCTTGCCTCTCATCTCAAGGAACTTGAAAAGAATTTAAAAACCTAAAATTCAGCAGAAGGAAAGAAATCTATTTCTGTAAATGAAATGGAAATTGAAAAGATAGTCCAACAGATCAGTAAAACCGAAAGCTGATTCTTTGAAAAAATGAATAAAATAGACCAGCTTATTAGAAAAAGAGGGAGTAAAAAAATCAAAAATGAAAGAGGAGAAATTACAACAGACTGCAGAAATTCAAAGGATAATCAGATTATTATGAACATTTATATGGAAACAAGTTTGACAACCTAGACAAGATGGAAGCATTCTTACAATTATACAGTCATCCATGATGGAGTATAAAAGAAAAAAAGCCTGAACAGATGAATCACAAACAAGGAAATTGAAACAGAAATCAAGACTTTACCAAAAAACAGAAGTCCAGGACCAAATGCTTCACAAGCAATTTCTACCACACTTTCAAAGATGAACTAACACCTATTCTGCTTGAACTCTCAAAAAATTAAGCAGG